CCAAGGCAGCTCTAAATCCTTGGCTGAAAGTAAGGGCTATAACCTAAAGTTTTGCTCACATATTTGCTCTCTGGAGTTTGTTTGTGAGGGAAATCCACTCTGTGGAGGGCCAAGGGAGACTGCTTTCAACATTACCATTGGCGCACAGGAAGCGACGTCAATGGAAGCAGACTCTGAGGACTAGCTCTCTTTCTTTCTTTCTCTTTCTCTCTCTCTCTCTCTCTCTCTCTCTCTCTCTCTCTCTCTCTCTCTCTCTCTCTCTCTCTCTCTCTCTCTCTAATAATAAAAATAATAATAATAATAATAATAATAATAATAGTAATAATAATAATATATTATAATAATAATAATAATAATAATAATAATAATAAAATAATAATAAATAATAATATAATAATAATAATAATAATAATAATAATAATAATAATAATAATAATAATAAATGTAATAATAATAATAATAATAATAATAATAATAATAATAATAATAATATAATAATAATAATAATAATAATAATAATAATAATAATAATATAATTATAATAATAATAATAATAATAATAATAATAATAATAATAATAATAATATAATAATAATAATATGATAATAATAATATGATGATAATAATAATAATAATAATAATAATAATAATAATAATAATAATAATAATAATAATAATAATAATAATAATACAGAATCCTATGTACGACAACACAGCTATCAAACCTGACACAACACAGTTTAAGAAAAGGTACGATAAATCTCATGGAGCAGGGAGAGAGTGGGCCTAGCAGCGATCAGCAAAGAGGTGGGGCCAGGAGCTGTGAATCGACCCCTGCAGCCCCAAATAAATGAGTACAAATAGATGAGCACATCTATCAAAGTCACAACATAGCTATCAAACGAGCAGTGACTCGGATATTCGCTGAACCATCGCTGACTATTACACTGCATCAGTCAGCACTCTGACATTGCAATGTTGACAGACATTGCTTAAAGCCACTGAATCAACGTCAGATAATTATATACTTTATTTCAAAGCCAAAAGCAACTTGTTTCAAAAAAACAGTGTTGTGATGTTTATGTTGTGTTTGAACATAGTGGTAGTCACTGCAATACAGTACAACATTGTGGTAGTCACTGCAATACAGTACAACATAGTGGTAGTCACTGCAATACAGTACAACATAGTGGTAGTCACTGCAACACGGTACAACATAGTGGTAGCCACTGCAACACGGTACAACATAGTGGTAGTCACTGCAACACGGTACAACATAGTGGTAGTCACTGCAACACGGTACAACATAGTGGTAGTCACTGCAACACGGTACAACATAGTGGTAGTCACTGCAACACGGTACAACATTGTGGTAGTCACTGCAATACAGTACAACATTGTGGTAGTCACTGCAATACAGTACAACATTGTGGTAGTCACTGCAATACAGTACAACATTGTGGTAGTCACTGCAATACAGTACAACATTGTGGTAGTCACTGCAACACGGTACAACATAGTGGTAGCCACTGCAACACGGTACAACATAGTGGTAGTCACTGCAACACGGTACAACATAGTGGTAGCCACTGCAACACGGTACAACATAGTGGTAGTCACTGCAACACGGTACAACATAGTGGTAGTCACTGCAACACGGTACAACATAGAGGGAGTCACTGCAACACGGTACAACATAGTGGTAGTCACTGCAATACAGTACAACATTGTGGTAGTCACTGCAACACGGTACAACATAGTGGTAGTCACTGCAACACGGTACAACATAGTGGTAGTCACTGCAACACGGTACAACATAGTGGTAGTCACTGCAACACGGTACAACATACTGGTAGTCACTGCAACACGGTACAACATAGTGGTAGTCACTGCAACACGGAACAACATAGTGGTAGTCACTGCAACACGGTACAACATAGTGGTAGCCACTGCAACACAGAGCAGCACAGAGGGAGTCGCCGCAATATAGTGCAACATAGTCACTGCAACACAGTGCAACAAAGAGTGTGTCACTGCAACACCACACAACATAGAGGTAGTTTCTGCAACACAGGGCAATTTGGAGAATAATGCAATTTTGAATTTTAAATCCTTACTGTGTAGTATTCTATAACTTTCCTGTGCTCTGGGCCAGAAGAGATTTTGTTTGTGAGTGTATATATATATATATATATATATATATATATATATATATATATATATATATATATATATATATATATATATATATATATATATATATATATATATATATATATATATATATTAACACATCGGCCGTTTCCCACCAAGGCAGGGTGGCCCGAAAAAGATAAACTTTCATCATCATTCACTCCATCACTGTCTTGCCGGAGGCATTCTTACACTACAGTTATAAAACTGCAACATTAACACCCTCCTTCAGAGTGCAGACACTGTACTTCCCATCTCCAGGACTCAAGTCCGGCCTGCCGGTTTCCCTGAATCCCTTCATAAATATTACCTTGCTCACACTCCAACAGCACGTCAAGTCCTAAAAACCATTTGTCTCCATTCACTTCTATTTAACACTCTCACGCATGATTGCTGTAACTCCAAGCCCTTTGCACACAAAACCTCCTTTGCTCCCTCCCATCAACCTTTCCTAGGCCGACCCCTACCCCGCCTTCTCTCCATTATTTCGTTCCATCCTCTCTACATGTCCAAACCATCCTCAGCCCTCTGGATAATAGTTTTCGTAATTCCACACCTCCTCCTGAACTCCAAACTACAGATTCTCTGCATTATATTCACACCAATCATTGCCCTTAGATATGATATATATATATATATATATATATATATATATATATATATATATATATATATATATATATATATTCAGCGATATTCAATAAGAACAGATCAGGAATCAAAATTGATAATCAACCACACCTTAGTTTGCAACAATCCTAGAAATCAATCAGAAACCAAATTCCTAATTCCTTGTATCTCATGACTGGAAAGAAATATTTTAATAACGGCAATTATAAAGCCTGATAAACGTTCATTATATAGTAATAGTTGTGGATTAGTCAAACTTGATTCGTTTATAACTAAAGTTACAATGCGTGACCTAAAACCACATTCGTATACGAATGTTTTTGATGATTAACTTAAGTGTCGAAGGAATTAGGCGCTAGTAGGCAACACTTTTGCCTCATACAAAGTGTCCGTGATACGATCCCCGGCGGATATCGGCCATTTTTACGGTATCGGTATCATTATCGGAATGGTACTTTTTTTTCTTTTTCATGCAGACATTGGAGGGAAAGTGGAGAGAGAGCCTTCTGCTCTTCTATCCTTGACTCAAATACCTTGATAATTCACGATTGCAGCTAGTCTCGATAGATGCTGATAGTTCTCAGCAGATAGTCTCTGTGTGGATTCTACATAAAGTACTACTCTATCTGTCCTTCCCATGTACTGCAGTGTAGTCCCATGTACTCCTACATATTTCCATGTACTCCCATATTCTCCCATGTACTCACATATTCTCCCATGTGCTCCCATATTGTCCCATGTACTCTAATGTTCTCCCATGTACTCTGTTCTCCCATGTACTCTGTTCTCCCATGCACTTCCATGTACTCCACTGTATTCCCACGTGCTCCCATGGTACAATTACCTACGCACCACCACAATCACCACCTCTACCAACACACCACAACCACTACCACACTCACCACCCCACCAACATACGACCACCATTGCCACAATCACTACCTTCACAACCACCACTAATATACGACCACCCCTACCGCGATCACCACCACCACAACCACCAACACAACCACCACCACCATCACTACCACAACTACCACCATCTACGTGATACAGTGAGGCGTGGGAGGTTAGATTGAGAGTGTAGGGTGAAGGGTAGAGGGAGGAAGGGGAGAGAGGGGAGATAAGGGGGAAAGGTGGTGGGGGGGTAAGGAAAGCCGAGTATATATTGATCCAATTTGGTTGTCAGGACAAGAGGGGACAGAGGAGGGAGCGGTGCCCCCCTGGTATTAACTTATTGTTTATCTCAGCTGCTAATGTTGGCGTCCAGAGGAGTGATGCTGGTAGTGTTGTCATGGCTGATGCTGGCTTTCTCTCTCTCTCTCTCTCTCTCTCTCTCTCTCTCTCTCTCTCTCTCTCTCTCTCTCTCTCTCTCTCTCTCTCTCTCTCTCTCTCTCAAACCTTTGTGATTCATTCCTTAAAATCCATGTTAACCCTCCTTCAAACCACCTTAAAACGTTTGCTGATCCTCCCTCAGCCATAGTCGATCTTCCTTAACCCTCGTTAAATAATAGTCGATCCTCTTTAAATCTCGTTAAACCATAGCCGATCCTCCTTAATCCTCGTTAAATCATACTCGATCCTCCTCAACCCTCTTTAAACATATTCGATTCTGTTTAACCCTCATTAAACTAAGGTCGATCCTTTGTAACCCTCGTTAAACCTCTGTCGATCCTCCGAAACTCCAGTTCATCTTAATTAAGGAACTTTTATTCATTGTTAATGCTCTTTAATCCCCCGTTAAACCACTGCGATCCTTTTTAACCCACGTTAAACCTTTGTTGATCCTCCTTCAGCCTCGTTAAACCATTGCTAGTCATCCTTAAGTCCCGTTAAACCCTTGTCGCTCGTTCCTACTTTTGCTGATCCTCTTTCAACGCGTAAACCACGTTTACAACCTGAATTGCCTAGAGAATCGTCCTCAGACGATCCATGCATAATTTTAAGACGTCGTCTCTTGACGTGCGTCGGTCCCCGTACGTCCAGCGTCGCGCGACGCCTCTTCCGTGTTTTGGACGAGGTCCCCGTACGTCCAGCGTACTGCGACGCCTCTTCCGCGTTTTGGACGCGGTCCCCGTACGTCCAGCGTCGCGCGACGCCTCTTCCATCTTTTGGATGCAGTCGCACTTGTTCCTTCTCGGCTAAATTTACACGTTTTGCTTCGTCTCAGTTGCATTATGTCGCACACACTGTCCGTCAAGCGTCAAATAGACGGTCTGTTTTCACGACGTGAATTGTTTGCCTCAGTAACACACACACACACACACACACACACACACACACACACACACAAACACACACACACACACACACAAACACACACACACACACACACATACAAACACCAATTAATATGAAAGAGATTTACTAAAACAGGCACATCAAATGTTTATCAGCCCACAGGAAACAATGTAAAGCTTTCTTAAATAAAAAAAAAACACTCCAGTACTTTAAGTTTCAAGTCGCTTAAAAGTTGCATTCTCCAGGTTTAAAACCGATCGAATGTTGCATTCACAAACCATTACTTAAAAAACCATCATTTTAGTTTTACCAATTTCGTCAGTAAATTGGTAAATTGCCAATTTCCTGACAATTTCAAGTTTCTATCACGTAGAATGCCCAAGTTTCAAGCCTATCTGTCTCAAGTCATCATATCGAAATCAAAATCAGGAATGTCAAACAAAAAAAAAATAACTTGTTACATGAACCTTTCCCAAGTTATTGGTCACCTGTGTTGAGCGTTTCAAGACGATCGGATGAAGCGTTCACAAGCTATAAATAAGGATGTGTGTGTGTGTGTGTGTGTGTGTGTGTGTGTGTGTGTGTGTGTGTGTGTGTGTGTGTGTGTGTGTGTCGTGTGTGTGTTTGTGTGTGTGTGTGTGTGTGTGTGTGTGTGTGTGTGTGTGTGTGTGTGTGTGTGTGTGTGTGTGTGTGTGTGTGTGTGAGTGTGTGTGTGTGTTTGTGTGTGTGTGTGTGTGTGTGTGTGTGTGTGTGTGTGTTGTGTGTGTGTGTGTGTGTGTGTGTGTGTGTGTTTGTGTGTGTGTTTGTGTGTGTGTGTGTGTGTGTGTGTGTGTGTGTGTGTGTGTGTGTGTGTGTGTGTGTGTGTGTGTGTGTGTGTGTGTGTATGTGTACTCACCTAGTTGTACTCACCTAGTTGAGGTTCCGGGGGTCGAGTCCGAGCTCCTGGCCCCGCCTCTTCACTGGTCGCTACTAGGTCACTCTCCTTGAACCATGAGCTTTATCATACCTCTGCTTAAAGCTATGTATGGATCCTGCCTCCAGTACATCACTTCCCAAACTATTCCACTTACTGACTACTCTGTGGCTGAAGAAATACTTCCTAACATCCCTTTGATTCATCTGTGTCTTCAGCTTCCAACTGTGTCCCCGTGTTGCTGTGTCCAGTCTCTGGAACATCCTGTCTTTGTCCACCTTGTCAATTCCTCTCAGTATTTTGTATGTCGTTATCATGTCCCCCCTATCTCTCTGTCCTCCAGTTTCGTCAGGTTGATTTCCCTTAACCTCTCCTCGTAGGACATACCTCTTAACTCTGGGACTAGTCTTGTTGCAAACCTTTGCACTTTCTCTAGTTTCTTTACATGCTTGGCTAGGTGTGGGTTCCAAACTGGTGCCGCATACTCCAATATGGGCCTAACGTACACGGTGTACAGGGTCCTGAACGATTCCTTATTAAGATGTCGGAATGCTGTTCTGAGGTTTGCTAGGCGCCCATATGCTGCAGCAGTTATTTGGTTGATGTGCGCTTCAGGAGATGTGCCTGGTGTTATACTCACCCCAAGATCTTTTTCCTTGAGTGATGTTTGTAGTCTCTGGCCCCCTAAAATGTACTCCGTCTGCGGTCTTCTTTGCCCTTCCCCAATCTTCATGACTTTGCACTTGGTGGGATTGAACTCCAGGAGCCAGTTGCTGGACCAGGTCTGCAGCCTATCCAGATCCCTTTCTAGTTCTGCCTGGTCTTCGATCGACTGAACTCTTCTCATCAACTTCACGTCATCTGCAAACAGGGACACCTCGGAGTTTATTCCTTCCGTCATGTCGTTCACAAATACCAGAAACAGCACTGGTCCTAGGACTGACCCCTGTGGGACCCCGCTGGTCACAGGTGCCCACTCTGACACCTCACCACTTACCATTACTCGCTGCTGTCTTCCTGACAAGTATTCCCTGATCCATTGCAGTGCCTTCCCTGTTATCCCTGCTTGGTCCTCCAGTTTTTGCACTAATCTCTTGTGTGGTACTGTGTCAAACGCCTTCTTGCAGTCCAAGAAAATGCAATCCACCCACCCCTCTCTCTCTTGTCTTACTGCTGTCACCATGTCATAGAACTCCAGTAGGTTTGTGACACAGGATTTCCCGTCTCTGAAACCATGTTGTCTGCTGGTGATGAGATCATTCCTTTCTAGATGTTCCACCATTCTTCTCCTGACAATCTTTTCCATGATTTTGCATGCTATACATGTCAGTGACACTGGTCTGTAGTTTAGTGCTTCATGTCTGTCTCCTTTTTTAAAGATTGGGACCACATTTGCTGTCTTCCATGCCTCAGGCAATTTCCCTGTTTCGATAGATGTATTGAATATTGTTGTTAGGGGTACACATAGCGCCTCTGCTCCCTCTCTCTGGACCCATGGAGAGATGTTATCTGGCCACATTGCCTTTGAGGTATCTAGCTCACTCAGAAGCCTCTTCACTTCTTCCTCTGTTGTGTGTACTATGTCCAGCACTTGGTGGTGTGCCCCACCTCTCCGTCTTTCTGGAGCCCCTTCTGTCTCCTCTGTGAACACTTCTTTGAATCTCTTGTTGAGTTCCACACATACTTCACGGTCATTTCTTGTTGTCTCTCCTCATTCCTTCCTTAGCCTGATTACCTGGTCCTTGACTGTTGTTTTCCTCCTGATGTGGCTGTACAACAGTTTCGGGTCAGATTTGGCTTTTGCTGCTATGTCGTTTTCATATTGTCTTTGGGCCTCCCTTCTAATCTGTGCATATTCGTTTCTGGCTCTACGACTGTTCTCCTTATTCTCCTGGGTCCTTTGTCTTCTATATTTCTTCCATTCCCTAGCACTTGGTTTTTGTCTCCTTGCACCTTTGGGTAAACCATGGGCTCATCCTGGCTTTTTTATTATTCCTGTTACCCTTGGGTACAAACCTCTCCTCAGCCTCCTTGCATTTTGTTGCTACATATTCCATCATCTCATTAACTGGCTTCCCTGCCAGTTCTCTGTCCCACTGAACCCCGTTCAGGAAGTTCCTCATTCCTGTGTAGTCCCCTTTCTTGTAGTTTGGCTTCATTCGTCCTGGCCTTCCTGCTTCTCCCTCCACTTGTAGCTCTACTGTGTATTCGAAGCTTAAAACCACATGGTCACTGGCCCCAAGGGGTCTTTCATATGTGATGTCCTCAATATCTGCACTACTCAAAGTGAATACTAAGTCCAGCCTTGCTGGTTCATCCTCTCCTCTCTCTCTTGTAGTGCCCCTTACGTGTTGGCACATGAAGTTTTCCAGTACCACCTCCATCATCTTAGCCCTCCATGTATCTTGGCCCCCATGTGGGTCCAAGTTCTCCCAATCGATCTCCTTGTGGTTAAAGTCACCCATGATCAGGAGCTTTGCCCTGCATGCATGAGCTCTTCTGGCCACTCTAGCCAGTGTGTCAACCATCGCTCTATTGCTCTCGTCGTACTCTTGCCTTGGCCTCCTGCTGTTCTGTGGTGGGTTATACATCACTGCTATTACCACCTTGGGACCTCCAGAGTGAAGCGTTCCCGTTATGTAATCACTTTCTTCTCCGCTGTCTCCTCTCTCCAGCTCATCAAAATTCCAGCGATTTTTGATCAGCAATGCCACTCCTCCACCCCCCCTGTTCCCTCTGTCTTTCCTCAGGATTTGGTATCCCGTTGGAAAGATGGCATCTGTTATCATACCTGTAAGCTTGGTTTCTGTGAGAGCTATGATGTCCGGTGATGCTTCTTTGACTCTTTCATGCCACTCCTCCCACTTATTTGTTATTCCATCAGCGTTTGTGTACCATACCTTCAGTTTCCTTTCCAACACTGTGGTTTGGGGGCCTGTGAGGGTGGGAGACCTGGTGGCATACTGTGGGATTCTATAGCTCGGTGTTGGGTGGAGGCTGTGGGTATGGATTGTAGTGTGTGTTGGGATGGTGTGATAGATTGTATGGTTCTGAGAATAGTTGTGTGTGTGCTTGCCCTTGCTGTTCTGTTTTGCTCTGACTGACATCTGCTGGTTCCATCCTTGTCTCTTTTCCTAGCTCCTTTCGCTTTTTTGTCCTCTCCCTCAGCTGCTGTCGTTCTGATTTTGTTCTGTCTCTGTCTAGGAACACCCTCTTGTACTCTTCCGAGTATTTCAATCGTGGTTTCTCTTGGAGGATCCTGTTCCGCACTGTTTCCGTCCTGAGAATCAGCTTGATTGGTCGGTGTCTCCCCTTCGAGTACCCCCCTATTCTCTGAAAATTTACAATCTCGTCCATCTCTTCACCTATTTCCGTGATGATTTTCTCAATCTCCTTTCTTTCTTCCTGCTGCCTTTCAGTGTGTGTCCTTTCCTCTCTCTCCTGAAGCCCATTTTGCCCTTTCCTCCTCCCATTGCCTCACCCTCTGTGACTCTGGATCCTGCCTGTATGTGGTCAGTTTCTCCCTTGTTTTTTCCAGTGGCTCTTGATAGCATGGTTGTGCCTCAGCATTCCACCTATTGCCCTCTCCATCTGCAACCAGCTGTTCTTCACTTTCACTCCTTGGTCCTCCTTGGCAGGCTGATATGACCTTAGCATAATTCATAATTCCCTCCTTCCTGTTCGGCCTCGCAGCTTCATATGTTGTGTCTTCTCTGGTCACTGCCCCTGTAACTCGCTTCAGCCTATTTATCTCATCTTCTAGGACCCTTATCTTGGCTACTGCAGTTTCGACTTGTGCCTCCCAATTCTTTGTCTCCTTCTCCAACCTCTTTTCCAATTTCACAGAGAGCTCTTTCTCCATTTTTTCAGAAAGCTCTCCTAATTTTCTCTCCCACTCTTGTTCCATCCTTTTCCACTGCTCCTCCATCCACTCCTCCCTACCAGAACCATTCTCATCTGATCCTTGGTTCCTGCGAGTCCCCACCATTTTTTTTTTTTTTTTTTTTGTGAGAGAAGAGAGAA